TTCCATTTGTGATATTGTATGCAAATCACCGAAATAATATTAATTTCATATTTTCAATTTGCAGATGCATATATAGAGGGTAAACAATTGCTTTAAATAAAAAAATAGATTTTTTAATTTGGTGTCCAGTGGTGCTGATGTTAAAATATTTTCTTAATTTAGAATCCCCCCAACTCTTGTGTTATTCGTAATAATTACCGTAGTCGATTAAAATTGATATCTTAAAACGTACATATTTCAAATTTTCACTGCACACCTTAACCATATAAATCAGGGCAAATTTTTAGGGTGAGACACGTTCACAAAAAATGCACTTAGCAATTTAAATATGTAGATGCAATAGTCTGTGACCAATAATGACTCTTAGCTCTGTAGACGCAAGATTAGTGAGCCGTATATTGCCATTTTAAAGTAAAAATCACGTTATAATGTATTTTATTAATTGTGGATACAATTTTTACTAGAGCGTCAGATTGAATTTCACTTTATTTTGTTACACATGCTATAGAGGCCGCATTAACTCATCCTCTTTCTCTATTAAAAGAACCCGTGACTGACATCAAAATAACCACATGATTACTAAAGATAGAAAAGATAAATTTAAAAAAAACTATAATGATGCACATAAAAACAAAGATAGAATTTTTCAAAATTAATTTTCTAAAAGGACAAATTTATTTTTTCCTGCATTATATGTTTTGATGCAATCTGCAACAGATCAAGGCAATACACCTTGCGTGACAGAAGCGCTAGTAGTTCTATTGATTGATTGATTGACTGATTAGTGTTTCCAGGCGCCTCAACCGCAATGGTCATTATTCCCGTACGTGTAACACATGTCGTGCCACGAGATGTGATCTTACTCCGCTGGATGTTGAGATCCGGCGCCATCATACACGTTGACTTGCGGGTTCTTTCCCTTCTTTCACGCGTACTAACGCACCAACAGGAGCTCTAAGCTCCCGACTCCCAGCATGTCTGGTAGTGTAGTGCATGTGAGTATAAGTGTGTGTACGTAAGGGGTGAGGATATGACAAGGAAGAGGAAGCACGTTTGTTAGGGTACTGCTCCGTCATTCGCCTTGTATTGAACCGAGAAACCAAGAAAAATGTTTTGAATATTTAATTGGCTGTCCGGGTGATCATGGCAAATGTGCCGACGGGTCGGTCGCCATTCTGCGACCTTCCTCAGGGCGTAATGAAGGCCGCAGAATGGCGACCGAAACGTCGGCACCCTTGCCACGGTGGCGGCGTCACCCGGACAGACAAATAAATACTCCTCCGCAGACTCCGGCCGTGGAAGCCTACGCTCTCAAATGTTCTGAAGCTGCTATGGCAGGTTGTTCGGCGGACGGGTGGGCGTGGCAAATCGCGGTCGCAAGAGGTCAAGCTGGTAGGGTGAGGCCTGATGAGGCGCAACGGGACGGGGCGGGGAGAGAAGTAGATATAAGCGTGTTCTCTTTTTCAAGATTTCACGTTATTGAAGGAGGAATTTCGTAAATTTGCTACTCTTTATTCAATAATACTATATTCATAATATTATCTTCAAATTTACAATTAGAACTGAATGATCACTGTATTTTTTTAGACTATTTCCTATCTTATTTTTACACATAAGGCCAACCTAAGTGTCTAATTTCAAATATTAATAATAATAATAATAATAATAATAATAATAATAATAATAACTTTAATAATTACTCCAATTTGTTCACGTTTTCTAGAACTTCAAGGGGAAAGATTAATTAAGGAAGAAAAAATATCTTCATTGGAATTCTTGCCAAAAAATACTAAAGAATTTGCCACTTGAACTTATTTTCCTTTGCGGTTCATCCCATTTTCAAACTTTGCAACGCCTCACGTCAACAGTTTTTTGTGCTTAATAAACTCTCCTAAAAGTTTCTATCAACTTTAAACAGTACTGTTCCATTTTTTCGTAAAATATAAAAAAACCTTGGATAATTTTGAACTACGAACTTCAACGCAACTAGAATATACGTAAATTCAACATTTTAACACACATATCAATGGAAGACGTATTATTGAGGTGTTGAATTCACAGATAGATATAAATAAAACATCATAAAACTGACTTTATTTATGTAGTATATCAGCAGTATTTTATTTATATAAACAATGACGATGATGGAAACGCGTTCTTTCACTGTAAATATAACAAATACCTGTGTAAATTTCAAAAGAGTTGTATTAGATTCCAATTATTTTATTTCTCTGTACTTTCAGCTAATATTAGTCTATTAAATTTTGATATTTGTAAAAATTCGATATCCTAATAAAAAGAAACGTTCATATTACAGCTTAATAATAGTATTGTAATCCTCAAGGAATGAAGGATATGGAATTATATCCTTTAAGAAAGAAACAATTCCTCAACGATAAATGGCAAGAAACTCAAACTCTCTAAGTTCTTGTTTGCTAATATTTCTCGCTTGCCGCTCCTAATTAGCGAACGGGGAACAACGGGGCCAGCCGACGCTTGATCCCGCTTCTTCTTCGGAGGCGAGCGGCGCGGGGCAGGGAGAGGAAAGCGAAGCGAAAGGCGAATTGAAGAGGAAACAGCGAAGCAAAGACCGGCGCCGAAGGGGTGGCAGGAAGGGCAAATATCACACTAGCCCGGGCGAGGGAGTGTTGACCTAGATTTCATGCTGCTGCCACAGCCTACGCCTCCGTCCATGTCTGCGAAATAATAGCTTGTTTCGCTGCTCTGACAGGGACATAGCTCGTTAATCAAAAGATACGCTTTTACCTACTTGCTGAAATTGGTTGGACGAATTGTCCAACTACTGGTTTTCTCACCGGGAGATATGGCTCAGGGTATCAACTGATGTCACTGCAGTGCCTCTGACCTAGGTTCGAATCTACGACGGTGGCAGGATTTTCGACACTAGTTTGTCAGCTAGATCAAATTCAGCCGCTGTCTGTATGAGAATTCTAGTGGCCGAATGCCTTGGTTGGTAGTTTTCTATGGTTTCTCCGATCAACACTAGGTGAATGCCGGAGCAGTACCCTAACAATATGAGTCACGAACCGCGCACACTCTCCTATACACTAATATGCAGTACACTACCACACATGCCGCGAGACACGTCGGGGGGTTAGAGCTTGACTAAGCTTCAGCGATGGACCTGGTGGGAGATACCTAGTTGACAGAAAAACCCGATAGCCGACGGGACAGCGCCACCCAACGGGAGATCACCGCAACTTTTCGAGGAAAAAACATGAGATAAACTTACGGGACTTAGGAACTTAGCAGTTGACGCGCCCGGATTCATTACCAACCAAACGTTTTTACTTTGCCGTATACGTACGTATATACGGAGTAATATACTTAGTTAAGGGAAAGTTATGTAATACTTTTGGGATCCCAGTATACCGAAAAAGTGTTGTTTTTTTTCAAAGCATCGTCTGTCTATCCGTCCGTCCGTCTTGTGCCTGTGAACACAACTAGCGCCTAAACTATTTTTTTTTTCAAATTAAAGAAATTCCTGTCCATCAGGCGCGAGTTGATGCTTTGTGATTTTGAAAAACATTCTTCCGACTCCGGGGGCTCTTTACCTCCAGTCATTTTCAAAATTTTCTGAAAAACGGCCGCAAATTTATCCTTCAAATTTCTTGTAAGAATAGAGAAATATAAACGTGGCATTTCGAAGCTCTAAATTTTTCAAAATTTCAAAAGTATGATTTTTTTAGGTGTCTTCCTGAAACTACAAACTTAAAGATAGAGATGTTTCCTACAAACAAATTTTGTTCTCCGTAGTTAATTCTTTCAATTATGTCATGTACATTTTTTGAAAATTTTTGTTAACTTTGCGCAGTATTGCATGCAATACGTTAAAATTTAAAAAGTACAAAAATAAGATTTTCTCAAAAAAGGCTTCAACATTTTTGTTGGGGAACTTTTGATTGGGGTAGTACTAAATGTACTTTATAAGATAACATAAGCGCCATATTGGTCTATTATTTGTTTTTGTTTTCAAAAAATTTCAACAAAGTATTTTTTTACTTGTCTCTCACGCCGGTAATATTTACATTAGCGGCAATTTAGTCATATTATTATATTTATAAGTAAATATGCTTTAAATAATGTCAGATAATTTTTTTCGAAAACTCAACCATTTTCTGCAAAAATAAGCTAAAATGTCCGCATTTTCAGAAACGCTCAAACGCCTTTTTTTCTCAAAAATTGCTGTAATTTTTTTCAAACATTTCGAAGAGGTAGTGCTAATTGCACCCTTAAATATTACATAAAGTTCATTTCAAGGTATTTTTTGTTTTTCCAAAAGTTTCAGAAATGAATGTGGCAAGTCCGAATAGTTAGCCGAGATCAAAGAAAATAAAAACTAATACGGGAAAGTCTGTGTCTTTCTGTAGCGCTACTATACAACACAATCTGGTTTGGTTTTGTACAAATCCAATGAATTTTAAAAAAGGCATCGTTGTTTTAGAATTGCTCTTATACACAGGTGACAAAATTGCGTTCGTACATGGAAGGTGGGGGTTTTGTTTTCCACTATTGTGTCATCTCTACGAAAGGTTCTTTGAATGGACATAGTTTTCATCCCCCAGCAGGCACAATTTCTAAAGTCCCGAACGGTCTTCCGATATATGTGTGCTGGCGTAGCTCATGTAAGTTTATGTGTATGTAAAGATGGATGAGAATTGTATGGAAAAAGAAGGGGTACTGCTCCGGCTTTCGCCTGCTACTGATCGGAAAAACCAAAAACCCCGTCCAACTCCCGATCAGAGCAGCCGGCCGTAGAATTCTCCTCGAGACAGTGAATATATTGATTTAGCTGACAAGCTAGTGTCGAAAAGCCCGCCATCGACGGGACTGGAACCTAGGACCTACAGGTCAGAGGGACGGCAGCGACTTGCGTTAATGCCCTGAGTCACCTCTTCCGGTTTTTGTATGTCTTTATAAAGGCATTTATATTTCTCCTTTGTTCCTGAATTCTTGCCGTATACTCCAGATATTTTTACTTGAGGGAAGGGTAACAGTAACCTGTTCCTGTGCTACAAATATGGCAATCGCACATGCATTTTCACCCCGTGCCAGCACCTGCTGGGCACTGACATATCGCATCAGATCGGACTCGCGTGACTGATGGGGTGACTCCCCTTCCAGGAGACCTGACCCTTGACTCTTCGGGAGCAACGCGAATCTCTGTGAATCTCCCTCCAGTGAGCGGGAAATCCTCTGCCCATTAATCGAGCGGGGGCGGCCTTCCTCCCTGAGGAGATCTAGGCCACGATGGGGCAAGTCTCCAATGTGACACCCAGCGTATTTCACTCTCGCCATGTATCTTCTGTGCATTTTTAGGCATCTCTTCAAAATTGTCCAATGTACAGTAAACCTGTCTAATGTCGACGGTTCCTTCAAAACATTTCTGTCCTATAGAGGGACACTAAAAATCAACATATAACTTAAGTACAGTGTTTTAGATATGATTTTGTTATTGAAACAAGACAAAGCATAATTTATTATTGAAAATATTGGAAAAACATAATAACAGCCAAGCACAGAAAATATATAGAACAAACATTTATTCAGTGTTTTTTTCTATCGTGAAATGTTTTTTGCACATACGCTTTAAATACATTTTGTCACACTAGAACACTTTCTTACACTATTCTGCGAGCTTTCACTAAATTGTGAAGTCTAGACGTCGTCACATCTACGACTAGTACGCTAGGATGTCAAGCTTTTCCAAAATTTCGTTGTCGACGTAAAGAAATGTGGCAACGCTTTTGAGAAGTAGACGGAGGGCGTGCGATTTGGACCGATAACGACGAAATCTCGCTTGTTGAGACCTTGAAAATCACACCTAAGCTTGAGAAAGTCGCAGCAAAACTGCCGTCGGGTATGTCAGAGTGCGTAAAAATTAAAAATTAATTTATTTTTTAGCAAGATAATAATGACTCTATATTCTCTAAAAAATATTCCATTTCGCCGCTTTCGACAGGTTTCCGTCTTATAGGTCATTTTTGACCAACAAAATCTTTAACATGGCAGCGTAGCGTTGTCATTTGTCTCTACCAAGCAACAAGGTATCATGTTAAATAGACTAGTACTTCCGTGAAATGAAAACCAACACACAAAATACCCCAATTAGGGGGTGCATCTCAAAACGTGTTTCGCTATATATACCCGAATTTTCTTACCGCTCCTAATCTACTGGCCAACCAAAAACGGTGATTCGTCTATATTAGGAGACTCTATACATCGATTGTTATGTCGATATACAATACACGGCGTATGTACTACAACATAACGCTTTTAACATACACTTTCAATTATTTTCAACACTGAGCTCATTTTGTAACTCTGTTGGACTTAATTTCACTCGTGGTATATCCGCGACCACGTGGTCTGTTAGTTTCACTATATTACCACAGTTTCCAGCTCTTATCCTACTTCCTCAAGTTCGCACTATTGCCTGCCGGTCACTATAACACTTGGTTTACTCCTAAATACTGTTTGGGAGTGATGTTTAAGAGTTTTGTTCGATTTGCTTCCAAAAAGGTACCGCGTTTTAATGTATTTACAGAAATGCTCGCCGTTTCTCTAATAAAAAATGGAATATATATAAAATTGGTTTGGTGTCAAATTGATATGTTTCTGAAGGAATATCTAGAAGAATAGGACTATACTGCGCACAATCTGAAACATACTAGCATATAAATACTGCCGAGGACCAAAAAGCCTGCAGTTATGATACACGGCAATAAAAAAGTAAAAAATATAACATGGTTAGATCTCAGTTGCTCGTCATCAGGTCTCTAATATTCATCGGTGCCACGACACTTCATTACGATTCATCAACACTTGATAATCGCGACGCATAACATCGTACAAGGTCGCGGTTCAGCGCGATGGGTGCTTAAGCCACTACGGTCGTTGCCCCGACTGTTATCCCTCCTGATAGAAGGTTTTTTAAAAATAATCTAAATGAAGTAGATAAGTGTGTAACTTGTGAAATTCGCAATATAATGAGAGGTTCTATAACTGCTTGATAACGCAAGTGGCTTTAGTTTGCTGGGTTTAGGCTAGAATTCCGAAGCAGTGCTTTTACATACTGGCAAAAGTCTACACGAGATCTTTCCTTCTTCATCCATTTCCCCTTCTCACCTCTTAAACTCTCTCTTACACGTATGCATGAACATGCTATACTACCACACTTGCCGGGAGACTAGTCGGATGCTTTAGAGCCTGTTCCGGTTGGGGCAGTGCTTCACCGCGGGCCCGCGTCGCCCGCGTCCCCCGCCCGCCTTCCTGCCTGCCTGCGTCGCCCGAACGCTCGCCCGAACGCTCGCCCGAACGCTCGCCCGAACGCTCGCCCGAACGCTCGCCCGAACGCTCGCCCGCCCATCAGTCGCCTCTCCCGCGTGGCGGTCGTCGGCTTTTCGCGGTGTCGCTGGCCCGCGCTGACGCTGACACGTGAGAAGCCCCTGCAGGCCGCAGCTTCCGCACCCAGCAGCCGCCACCGCCACAACATGGCGCTGCGGTTAAAGAGGAGCGCCAACCGCTACGAAGCGGAGAGGAAGCACTGCACAGCCCAGCACACCACAGCACACGCACAGTGCTCATTGTGCGCGATAGCGTGCTGTCGCCTTTCGCCGATTCCTTTGTTTGGGCCGCATTCAAAAACTGTCGCGTACGAGCGTCGAACCCAGTTGTGGGTTGATGACTGCGAATGCGCTTTATGGTTGAGGACCGTTTATAACAGCTCTGAATTCAACGCTTCTGATATATTCTTTATACCAAAAATAAGTTCGGAATTGTGTTTGAAGTTTCAAATAAACGTGTAATTCCAACTTACCAGTTATCAGCTATCTGATAAGGTTACAAGAAGAACTAGAATATTCCAATGGCTCTTGCAGGTTGAGTACAATATACCACGATTGAAATTGATTCTTCTTTGAGCGCTTTTATTAAGTAAAGTTTTGAATAGTGAATAGCTTTTGTGTAAGATCATGCGAAGAGTAATGTATTTTTATGTTCTTATAAAAACATTTACGCCAAACAGGCAACAAACATTACCCTGAATAGATGATTATGTCGTGAAATCACGCTTGAATAGGATAGTCTGAGAGTCCCATTCAAGGGAATGGCCTGTACACATGGTGGAGTTAGTAAGTTGCCTATGATTGACATATGTTTATGGAAAAAATCTTTCTTCCAGCATTGAATATTCACTTCATATTAAACTAAAATGTAGACTATATAATTGGTAAGAGTTTAAGTTTCAGTAGACATAGTTAGAATCTGGTATTTCCCCCAGTAGGACATCGCCACCGCCGGTGCAAGGTCTAAGCGTCCAACTGATCTTCTGACTTGTGTGATAATGTAGTGCATGTATATGTAAAAGTGTGTAAGTAAGATGGAGGATGATGGAGGAGAAGGATGTGGAGAGGACAAGAAAGAGGAAAGAAATATCATGCGCAGTCCGTAGCCCGTTTGTTAGGGCACTGCTCCAGCATTCGTCTGCTGTTGTTGAGAGAAATCATGGAAAATTACCAATCAGAAGATAATCCTCCTCCAGTTAGCGTATGAGTTCGCCCGAGCTCTTTAGCTTGTGTCGAAAATCTTGCCACCGTCGGAACTGCAACATACAGGAGCTCCCTATCAGAGCACTGCAATGATAACAGTTGATGCCTTGCGCCACATAGGTCGGTGAAAGACATTCATAAAGCTAGATTAAAAATGACTGACGAAGTGCAGTGCGAACTAATCTGGTAAATTGCGAATTAGCAATATTTTGGATATTTGCCGCCAAGCGTTCAATTTCAATAAATTATATTTATTTAGTACACAAGTTGAAGAAAAAAATATTTTTGAAATTAACAAGATTCAATCATCGTACAATATCAATGCAAAAAACTATACTATTATTACTTATTAAACCATTTTGAAGAATAAGTAATGGATATGATAATGATCAAAATAACATTTTGGAAGATCAGGAGTGCAGTGAAAATTGCTTAGTAATCTAACAAATACTCATAAACATACTTTCATCACTCATAAAACGCATTTCCAATAAATACTAACAAATTACGTATAGAATGTAGTTTTTAGGTTTACTTTTTAAAATGTAAGTCTTGAGAAAAACAACTGGAAATTGAATTGGTATTTTGTGCAATGGTTTGATTTAAAAAAGGGAAAATGAACACCTCTGTTAGCAAATTATAATCCTTATCAAACTGTCATATTTGAATATTTTTACGTTTTTCTCGTACTCTCATTATATGTTGTTTTGAAGACCATAGAGGAAAAATATTCCAGCTTTAATTTTTAAAAACCAGTGTTGTACGAAGTAAATTATATAGCAAAATTTTATCTGGCTAATATACATGAAAACTCAAACATTTCACATAAAAATACTTCACAAGACCCAAAATTGCATACTAATTTTTGTCTTCACGTAAAACGGTATTTAAATATTGTAAACATTCGTGTTTCTTCAAAGCAAAACAGGTAACATACTCGTACACTCTTATGGGCTAATATAGATGAAACCCCAAAAACATCAGAAATAAGATAACACTCTACTCCTCAGGCTAATTTTAAAGTTAAAGGAGTAAAATATTTGGGGTTTTACAAAGTAAAAAAGAGAGGATATTGGCGTGTGTTGACAAAAACTCAAAAAAAAAGAAATAAAATATAATACGGATTTTAGGCTCTAGAGAAATCTTGTTCCGGACTTTCAAAAATATTGCACTTAATTAGATTTTAAGTTGGCATATGATTTGTTGGTGTTTTGATAATATCTTGTCGCATTGTCTGCGTATGCTTTTTGTTTTTGACGAAAATAAATCAGGGTTTTGTTATGTGGCCGCTGCAGGCTTTAGGTAGGTACAGTCACAACATTCTCCTCTTCCAACGCTATCAGAATTGTCTAGCTCTGGCTTTCGTTTGCAATTGCGCATCGTCTGATAGGACAATGACACAGGAAATAAAGTTCAACAACCGAGCTGAACTGGTTTCTGATAAATGATAGATTAGTTCAAGCTATTTCTAGCAAACAAAAAAAAACTGAAACCCAATGACTAATTCGTAGTAATATGGGATAATGAATTTATAAATTATTCATATCGAATTCATATCGATATAACTCAATTGCATTATTGAATAGCTTACAGTTTCCAATAATCACTTCGAAGAAATTAGTATCAATATTTCCCTGGATTCGTTTAAAAAATTCTCAGGAAGCGATATTTGATGTAAACTATTCATTAATTGACCGCTGCTGAATAGAAGAAAAGAGAAAGTAGCATAAATGAACATGAATAGATAAATCAGTTGCGTAGCAA